GGGGTTAAGTGGGGAAGATAAGTTGTTTTCTGGGGTTCATGATTTATAACAAGTTACTGAGAAGGAAAGACAAGCCTACTTGCCGGAGCAGGTGCTCAGTCTTTCTCATAAATATTATAATGAAAATTCAAAACTCTACAATTACGTTGTGCAAAACACCAAACCGAGGGGAGGTAGGTGTGTTTCACTGTGTTCTTCTCTGAGGATGCAACACAACACCCCCCCCCCCCCCCTTCTCTTCCTCTCCAAAGAGACAAAGGGGTTACAACTTGTCATGAGAGGAGGAAAGCCTAAAAGTCTATACTTATAGAAGGAAAAGAATATTGGAGTATAATACATAAGAATATTACCAGTAGAAAATCTGGCACTGTCCCGGTCACTATTCGCAACGCCAATCCCTCTGCAATGGCGGTCTTTCCCACGCCTGGCTCTCCCAACAGGATAGGATTATTCTTTGTCCGTCGAGCAAGAATCTCTACGACCCGCTGCACTTCTTTCTCCCTCCCAATTACAGGATCGACCTTCCCTTCTGCCGCTCGTGCTGTGATGTCCACGCAGAATTCGTTCAGTGCACTCCTCTCTGGTAGACGAAGAAGAAGAAGAAGAAGAAGAAGAAGAAGAAGAAGAAGAAGAAGAAGAAGACAAACCAAGGCCAATATAAGTCAACCCAAACCGTTTGTTTTGTGGCGCTGTGTTTTTTCCTTTTTTGAAGTTGCTTCCCTTTCTGGCAGCAACTGTCTTGGGGAGTTTAATAAAATCAGATGATTAAGATCTGATTAAAATCTCCAAAATCTTTTAGTGCCGAAAATTGGTCTCTTGTGATGGTAGATTGTTTTGGATGGGTAGTTTGATTCATTCATTCATTCATTCATTCATTCATTCATTGACTGATGTATTGATTGATTGATAAATGTGGCATCTGGTTGAAGTAATGGCTGGCTTGCAATGTTGACTGTCTGACCAACTGCAGAGTAAACTGTGGATTTATGAGTTGATTGAGTGCGTGAGTGACCTATCGATTGATCAGTCGATGGACTGATCCAGTGAGCGAGTGACTGATCGATATAGAGCCATGGAGTGCTCGAGTGAGTGACCGATCTACAGATCCATAGGTAACCAATCGATGGAGTGATCGATCAATGGATCCGGTAACCAATTGATTGGTTTATCGACTCACTGATTGACAGATGGATGGGATGGAATAAATCAATCAATTGAATTATTGGGAATCCATGGATTGATGGATTGTCGGATCGAGGATTGGATTTGTTCGGATTGAACTTGATAGGATTAGATGGATCGACGGGTGGACTGATGGATGGATCAATGAATGGATTGGATTAAGATGCATCGATGGATGGACTGGACTGGATTAGGTTGGATTGGGCTGGATTGAGCTGATTGGATTGCTTGATGAATCGATGGATAGATTGGATGCGATGGATGGGATGGCATGGGATGGTATGGGATGCGATGGACTGGATCAATCAATTAATCGATTGTTTGATTGATTGATCTATCACCAATTGGTTGATTGATCAACTGATTGATTGATTGATTGATTGATTGATTGATCGATTGCTCGATTGATCGATCTATAAACTGATTGATCGATTGATTGATCGATTCATTAATCGATTGATTGATCGATTGATTGATCGATTGATTAATCGATTGATTGATCGATTGACTCCTCGATTGTTTGCTTGATTGATCGATTGACTGATCAATTGATTGATCCATTGACTGCTCAATTGATTCATCGGTGGGTGCAAAATACAAGTAAGAATTGACCCATAGATCGATGGACGAACAATAGATGGAAGGGTGTGCAGATGGATGGATGGATGGATGGATGAGCATGGCTGCATGATGAGGGAATGGATGGTTGGGTGGTGGACGGATCCTGATACATAGGTCGACTGATTGATAAGAAAAGATAATTTGATAACACATTGAACAATGGAGATGCAAAGGATGATTGGAGTATGCATAAATCGCCAAACGACCACCCTTCATCACAGCTCACAGCAGTAGATAAACCGTCCACCAAACGCAATCAACATCCATTTGCATTTAACAATAATGATGAACCTTTTTTTTCCTTCTCCCCCCCCTCCCCCCCCCCAAAAAAAAAAAAAAAAAAAAAAACCTTCCTGTTCAGTCCCAATTTAGTCAACCCCTTGCGCAAGATCACAAATTTGCCAACCAACCCTTTCTAGAAGTTAGTGTTTGCATACACACTTTTTCGGAAAGTCGTGATGAAATCTCACAATTTCATTTCACTTGCCCTTTATTATTATCACTAGCTTGAAAGCAAAAAAAAAAAAGGTGATGTTTCCTTGAATTCATTTATTATTAAAAAATTTTAAGGGCCTCCCAAAGGGTAACGGAGGCGTGCAAAGGTTCCCTCAGGCTGGACGGAAATCAATTATTATTCCATTCATTAGTAGTAATTCAGTTGACACTCACACTTCAAAACTTCTCCACAAATAAATAACAATTCACCGAACAACACCAAGTTTGCAATCTCCTTGCCTTTTCTGGTTGCTCGCGACGAACCCAGTCCTCCTGAAGGTTTCCCAGCCAGCGCAGCTGTGCGTGACAAAGGCGTCCGTCCATCCTTTGCCAGCTCGCCTTGCAATCGTGCGACTGCTTCTGCCAGCATTTTGTCCTTGCGCAAGCCCAACCTACACACATAATCATTATAAAGGTAACGATAAAGATATGCATAAGTTTCTTCCCTTTTTTTTTTTTTTTTTTTTTTTTTGATAGAACCTTCCCCGGTCCTTGCACAACCGGGCCGCCCGGGAAAATAGGGTGATCCAGGTGGCCCGGCTGGTAGCCTAGGTTATGAGCAAATTGATACACTTTATAATAACTAAAAATAAAATATAAAAAAAACGGATAGTAGAATAGTTTTTCTTGTTTTCCAATTTATGTGTGTCATCCTTGCGCAGAGGCCATGCTAATTGCCCTTCTCTGTATCGTTCCAATTTTAACGGATGTCCCGGAGGACGGGATACTTTTTCCTTTTTCCTTTCCCATCCTTTCTTTTTTTTTCCCGTTTCTTCTGCAGGGATGAGAGAACTGTAATCCGGTGAAAAATTGTATTGCCATTGATCATGGGCTTCACATCATCAGTTATCCAGGTCACATTTCCCCAAAAAGAAAAAGAAAAAAAGGAAAAAGCGGAAAAAAGTTAAAAAAACTGTTCAGCATAAAAATACCAACCTACTGGTGGCCTTATGCTGACAAGATTTATGAGCAGCGGTTTTTGACTTCTCGTTCAAATTTCTTACCCCCTTTAAATTCCTCTTTTTTCTGTCCATACTAATTTTATCGTAAATTAAACTTTTCTTTTATAGTAAAAATTTCTCGATTTTTCTTTCTTCTTTACAGGATCATACAAAAAAATATCAATTACGTTTTCAACGGCATACTCCAACTGCAAGCTTGTTAGAAGAAACCTGCAAAACTGTTAAGCAATTCTCAAGCGAGAAGTGTTTGTCTGAAGACTTCAGCCTGTAGCTACAAGTTTGTCAGAAACCACACACGAGCTGCAACCGCTGCAAAAACTAAGAAGAGTGCTGCCTGCAACACCATCCCCTTTGTCAGAGATGGACAAAACCTGGAGTTACTGCAACTGCAATTTTCTTTGTCAGAAGACCGCAGCCTGCAACTGCGGATTTGTCAGAGAACTGCAGCCCACAGGTGCGAATTTGCCAGAACTGCGGCCTGCAACATCATCTTTGTCAGAGACAGACAAAAACCTGTAGCTACTGCACCACAGCCTGCAACTGCAGATTTGTCAGAGAACTACAGCCCACAGGTGCAAATTTGCCAGAACTGCAGCCTGCAACATCAGCTTTGTCAGAGAGACCACAGCCTGCAACTGCAGATTTGTCAGAGAACTGCAGCCCACAGGTGCAAGTTTGCCAGAACTGCAGCTACTGCAACATCAGCTTTGTCAGAGACAGACAAAACCTGCAGCTACTGCAAGTTTCTTTGTAAGAAGACTGCAGCCTGAACCGCAGGGTTGTCAGAGAACTGCAGGTGCGAGTTGCGTCAGAGAACTGCAGCCTGCAGGTGCAAGTTGCGTCAGAGAACTGCAGCCTGCAGGTGCAAGTTGCGTCAGAGAACTTCAAAACAACTGCAGCATTTCATCACTTACAAAGAACCTGCCTCCACAAATGCAAGATCAATTTTGTCAGAGAGACCAAAAACCTGCAGCGACTACAACTGCAAGTTTCTTTGTAACAAGGTTGCAGCCTGTAACTGCAGGGTTGTCAGAAAACTTGAGCCGGCAGGTGCAAGCTCGTCACAGAACTGCAAAACACAACTGCTGCTCTGCAGCTTTATTTTGTTTCTTACACTCACAGAACTGCAGCCCGCAACTTCAAAAAAATTGCGGAATAAGACATACAAGCTGTGCTGTGACTACTGCAACAGCTCTTCCAAGTTCGTCGGAAAATTTCAGCCTGCAGCTGAATATGTTCACGCCTAGAGAAATGCAAGTTGCGACTGAAAGTTGGTCAGAAAACTGCAGAGCCTGTAACTGAAAGCTCGTCAGAAATTTGCAGACCTCATACGTGCAAGTTGGTCAGAAAACTGCAGAGTCTGTAAGTGCAAGTTTGTCAGAAAACGGCAGAGTCTGCAAGTGCAGGTTGTCAGAAAATTGCAGAGATTGTAAGTGCAAGTTGTCAGAATCCCCTGCAAACTGCAGTTGGCTGCAATTGACCGCAGCTGCAGGTGCAGAGGAGCTTGTAAGTGCAAGTTGGTCAGAAAACTGCAGAGTCTGTAAGTGCACGTTGGTCAGAAAACTGCAGAGTCTGCAAGTGCAAGTTTGTCAGAAAACTGCAGAGTCTGTTTGCGCAAGTTGGTCAGAAAATTGCAGATATTTTGAATGCAAGTTGTCAGAATCCTGCAAACTGCAGTTGGCTGCAGTTAACCGCAGCTGCAGGTTCAGAGGAGCTTGTAAGAGCAAGCTGGTCAGAAAACTGCAGAGT